TCATGCCGAGACAAACGTCGCTATATGGTCGCCAACCCACCCAACAGCTTTCGACAAAATTCCTAAAGCTACCATTTTTACTCGCCTGGGAACTATGCACTCGCACCAAGAGGTTAAAGCGGCACTCGAGGCAACCAAAGATGTTGACCAGACGTTTTGCCTATCTGTCAACAACGTTATTCTCGTCTTCTCTGCCTCTCAGTATGAGCACACTATGCACTGTCACAAGGTTCTCCAAATGCTAGAAGACCGTTCGATGCGTATAAATATCAATGACTGTGTTTTCAATTCTAAAAACAGCATCGACGCAGGTATTCAATTGGAGCAAGTCGGACATCACAAGATCTACATGGTTATGAACAAGGGCGTGCAAGGGCGTTCGTAAAATCAGTCTACTTAGTTTACTTTACAATCTGTCTACCATTCTGAGTTGACTTCCATACTTTAATAATATTTTTATCATATATGAGCCAGTGGCTTATTACTCTGCTTACAATGCCGCGCTGCGATCCGACCTTCAGAGAAGACGATCAAGTCTCATTTTCGGAAACAGCACAAGCTAAAAGGGTGCGAATTACAAAGTGTCATCGGCTTTTACTACTACTCAATCGGCGCAAGGGTTACAATTAACGATCCGCAATCCGTCGAGCTCCCCGCGGACTACAGCCAGCCACTTGGCTGCTTGGAAAGCTTTCAAGGATATAGCTGTAACGCATGCCGCTTCTTGACCATCAACAAAAAGAACGCCATCACCCATCGGACTCAAAGCGGGCACAGGTTCAGCCCGGGTGAAACGGGGTGGAAGAGCGTCACGCTGCAGACATTTTCACGAGGCGCGCATGCCAGGTATTGGATCGTCGACGCAATTGGTCAACCTATTGATGCGATTAGCGATAGCAACGGAAATGATGCCGACGACGATGGTAACGATGATGTTACTGCGTTGACGAAAATGGCCGAGGTTTGCGAGCAAGGCATACTAGAGGAAGATAAAAAAAGACGGCAGCTCGTGGAGGCGCCAGGCGGAGTCAATACAGATTCACGATGGGTCAAGTTTATGAAGCTGGCACAGCATCTGAAAGATAAGAACCGGAAGATGCTCTACGAGACAGCTGCGCCGCTGGCGCCGAAAGCGGTCGAAAAACGGTGGAATCATCAAGAGGCGATCAAGGCGAACCGACGGCTTCGGCAACTTGGAGATAGCTACGACCGGGTTCTCGCAAGGTGCACAGCATTGGCTTTTGGTGTGATGGTATAGATGTTTAGGTATTTGGGTAATTGTACTTACTTGAAGCTGAACGCGGTCGTGCCGTTCTGACCTGCAGCATCCCAGTCATCAAAGCATAGAAGGCATAGGCGACCCTTTCTGAACTTCTCCTGTTGTCGTCTGAAAGTGTGACGCCTCGTACCCGCTTCTAGGGAAGCTTCCAGATCCTCCCTGCGAAGAATTGCCGCATCTCGGGCACGAAATGATTCCGAAAGACCTCCTTTATATACTTTATTGCGGCATAGGTATCCTGTGACAGCAGCTGGACCCTGGCTTCGGATTCTCAGCCTGCCGCCACTCCCTTCCTATCCTTCCTATGGTGGTACTGTAGGAACAGCCTGCAAGAAGTGCACTCGACGGTTCTGCACGCCCGGCTAGTTCTTTAGATTTATCCTCCCGTGGCCGGTTATGTTTAGCCTCCCTGGGTTGATATTATGTACCCTGGGGTATATAGTTTAGAGTGGATCTTTTGTGCCCTGGGGTATAAAACCCAATTACTATATTTCTAGGCCTAACCCAATACCTAAGAGTAAACTTACTACTTACTATAACGGGATAGGGCCTGGATCGATATAAGCACTTTTAGACACTAGTGGAGGTCCACCAGCCCCTTAGGCCCTGCCCCACAAGACTTAGAAATTTCTTTTATTTCGTATAACACGTAGCGAACGCGGACTCTGAACCCGCGGCTCCTACCGTCCTTATACTCAGATGAGACCCTCATGTAACTAGCTTACATAGCGGACGTTGATAACAAAATAAAGAAACAAACTACTGTATTGCCTAATTGCCATAGGTCGTCTCGCCCTTTACCTTGGAGAACGCCACGGAATTGTTGTCCTGGCACAGAAATTCGTGTCATGATAAAACCAGGATTACTGAATACCACCAGGAGCTCATCGCCAAGGAAGATCGGCCCATGAGACCAGGAATAGGAAAAAGGTTATGGGGAATCGGATTCTCAGTAATGTATTGTAATTGATTCATTTGGCAACACAGCCACGTTTCGACAGGCTTAAAAAGGACGGATAATATGCTTACACAACTACGTAAGTCCGGATAGCCCACACGAAGAAATGATTGGCCGGGATCTACACAATACAAATAGATTACATCGTGGTGATTGGTTCATATGTGCAACATAATTGATTTAGATAGGAAAGAAATAACAAATCATTCAAATCTTATGGAAATCAAAGAATTTTATCTTATAGCGGAAACTGCTTCAATTTAATTGGTTGACCAGCTGATCTAATTAGTACAATTCTTCTGACAGCAGTACTTATGACCTCGCCCTAGGAGATCTGCGTCGGCGACGCAAAAGCTGAGAGAGACCACTTTGACATCCTTTTATAACTACCTTCAGCCACTCAAGAAACTTAGTTAAACTTCTTGGGGCGAGATTTGTAGCTTTGACATTTGGAGAATCTTCGATTTGTAAGTCCAAAGGCAAGGTCGGGTGAAACCCAGGTCTACGATCTTCCTGCAGTTCTGCGCATAGCGCTTTGCCTTGTTCGAACGATAATCGTTTTATAAGCCGAGAGGAATTTGAGACGACCAGGCCTTTGTGATATGGCTGCTCGATTCTACTCATGGCTTCAGATTGCACTGTGTCGGATCCTGGGCTCTCATTATTCGTCTTTCGCACCGAGTATACGAAGGACTGAGACTCGCGCATCTCCGCCGGCATGATCAGATGACTGGGAGTTGAAAAAGAACCATTCTCTAAATGCGGCGCTTCCTCATAGTTGTTTCGAATACAGACTGTCGACACTGACGATGGCAAGTTCAGGAGGGTGCTTTCATTTGGATAGGGATAAATAATTTTGTTTCGCTTAGAGAGCACTATCTCGATGCTGTCTCTAAATTGATTCTCCAAAATCAGTATAAATTGGCGGGCGATGCCGGCCATTCCAAGAAGGGGCGGTAGCCGCCATGCTGGGTAAAGTCTCCCGTGATGTCTTGGCACATGAAATTTTCAGTGCGTGAGGATAAATGCATTACAAAGAAAGCAAGCGTCTTTACTCGCACAGATCACTCGAGGCTGGGGAGTGAATTTGTTCGTTTCGCAATGTAAGATGAGTTGAATCGCAGCATGAATCTTCGCTTCTAATAAAATTGTGTTCGTTTGGTTGATAAACCTGCTGCCAGCTTCTATCTCATTGGTGCCAAGTATATGGCAGATTCGGTCGGCATTCCACTGCAGACCATGAAGTGAGGCAATCCTCGCAATCATCGATGAAAGAGTTGAAGTACATAGCGCTGTAGATGTCTCTCCAAAGGCATTCGAAGGTGGCTTGACGAGTATGAAACGCAGTCTTTGGATCGAAGGATGCTTTTTCGATAGGTTACAAAGAAACCGGGCGGCTTCAAAGTATCTAGCAACCTTTCTGACGCCATTCAACAAAGACTTCTTCGAGCTTGGATCCATCTCATGGTTCGATATCGATTCAATGACGTCTTGAAAGCCACTTATTTTCGATAGATGCTGGATGCTTCGGACTAAAGAACCAAGTTCATCAGGCGTCTCCTGCTTCCTCCAGGATTCGACGAATTTGATAACGTCTCTTGATCTCTCCATAAAATTGAAAAAAGGCTTAACAGAACGCAACGCCATAGCCTTTTGAAGCAGCAGAGTAATCGGCTGCCTACTTGCTTTTATATAGCTATTCGTGAACCGTAGACGGCAAAGAATTCGCTTAAAGCACATCGAGATAATTGCAGCAAATACCGCATCTTCGACGTTCGAGTCGATAGCTGCTTTTACGCTTAGTCGATATTGAGAACATGCCAACATGTTAACTTACAGTATGGCGCTTGTGAGAGCTGCGCGAAAATATCCTCAAAGCGATCTTTCAACTGCTGCAGAATATGATTGCCGTCATCGAACTTGGCTTTATTTATCGCAATCAAAAGATTCAAAGATCCCGTTGTTACATCTTCCAGAATTGAAACGGCAGAGACATGATTTGGATTATTACTTATACTGGAAAGAAATGCGAGCACACTAGCTAAGTTGCGCTCTTCCTGGAACAACTCTACCCCCGGCATTGTGGGTCATACAGGGGTTTATTTATCTCAGAGTGCTATGCCTCGTTTAAGCCCCACTTCCACGCGCCAGCTAACCTCTGTACGCGTTTTGCGACGCAAATTGTACTGCACTAAATGCCAGGGCATTCAGCATAGGCCATGAAGTCCAAACGAGGCGATTGCTGTTATGTCTCACGTCCAGATGGAATTTGGTGGATCTAAATTTGTTATGCTTAATTATCGGACGGCGCCGGCGGGCTAGCGCCAGCCCGGGCTCCTTACCTGGTGGTTGACTATTAGTCAGCAGGGCATGACCAGTCAGCCGGCTACCCCTCCTTCTTCCTGCATTTTCATAGAGCACCACGCGAGACGTTCTTTTTCGCTATTTTTTTCTTGTAACTCGATGCCTCGTTTTCCGTCAACGAAGTTATCTCTAGCTGTCAACTGATATCTACTTAGTGCGGTTTTAGCGCTCTCAAGCTACGGGCCAAAGCAGGTTAAAGGAATGAAGACTGATCCCTTGCCCTGTCCAGATTGGGTGGTCGCAACGGGCTCAAATGTTCAGTAAGATTCGTCCTTCATTCTGTGGCTCATTAGAATGCCCTATACTGATTTTATTAGTTATGCTAGAGATAGAGCTTGGTTCAGCAGCGACTATCGACCTATCAAATCTTTTGTCGGAAGCATTATGTTTGGTGATATTCGGAGCGAAGTGATAGGAATAGGCACTGTGCTCTTACCCGTCAAAAAGTCCACAAAATTAAAGGGATCCGGTTCGCATGGAGCGTTGCTCCTTACCAATGTGCTGCATATGCCAACAGCAGTTTCAAATGTTATTGGTCACTCGGCTATGGATGACTATGAACTGAGGCTCCCTACTGGGACAGATTCCTTCGGAGAATTTGTAAATCTACACACAGGCGGAACAGCTGCATTGATAGGGCGAGGGGCTGGTGATTTTTCTCAATTTTCAGTCGTAAAGCTAAGTGGGCCTCCTGTTGGGCCTCGTACTGGCCCTCAACGACCAAAGACAGGAATTCTTTACTCACTTTCGGTTGAACGGCCGCCAGAAGAGCGACACAAATGGCTTCCATCAGCGATGTCTACAACTGTTGGCAAACCAGAACGCGAATCTCTTACTCCATTGGAGAGAAAGTGGCTGAAATCTGGATATGGAGGCGAATTTCATTTCCTTAACGTTCACGGACTTAGCATTATAAAGATGATGATCGCGAGCAAGGCCGCAGTATTATGCGAGCAATGATGGAAGCTGATGAGAATAGCGATATGATAGGTTTAGTAGCAGAAAATTAGTCATAAAATAGTCAGACGACAGCTATTGAATCGCTCCGCCTTGATTATGGTTTTCAGTAAAATTTAGCTTAGGTAACTCTTCAAGGTTCTATTGAAGCTGGGGAATTATGTTTTTGCGGCGATAGTTGAGGCTCTCGTTTTTACGTTCTATTTCCGCCATAATCGAAGCAACCAGGTGCCAGAACTCCGCGAATTTCCTCGTCAGCCAGCGGGACTCGGTCCGTGGAGCCGGAATGTGACTCCATTTGCCCGCTGCGGTGGGATAACGCTGAAAAAGTTAGACCACTGGCCAGAGCGCACGATCTTATGTACCTCATGTGAATTTGCGCTCAAGGCAGACGAATCCGAAGAAGAAGCATCTAGGATAGATCAATTATTCCAGCACAGGCCGCTGGCTACGAAATCACATTCATTAACAGCTTTTATTACAAAGTTGGCTCGCTGGCGATATCCTGAACTCATGGCAAGTGACGATATTCACACCGAAGCGGCAATAGCCTATATCTTACCCTATAGAGATAGCAGTGAGCCAATAGGGAAGCGATTGATAACTACCTGCCGGCCGCGAGAAGGAATTGGCAAGAGAATATAAGGAGGAGGATAACAAATGGTTTGTAAATAGGCTTGACTGCATTTAGCATCTTGTAACTGCGCCGCTCTTCCCACGAGATCTCGCCGTTCTGCAGCCGAAATTTCCTAATGTCGTTTTGGAAGGTGCGTAGGTACCTCATTGACAAGAACAACAAATGCACATTCGCGATAAACAAGCGATTTATATACGTGTAGAAACCTAACGGCCCAATAGCTATATCGCATTCCATTTTTGCGACTGGAGATCGCGGAAGGAGGTCAATCGCAATGGTAATTTCTTGTAACCTTACAGGTCGGCCTTCCAGCACTCGAATAAAAATGAACTATCGAACTCATAGTGTGCTTAAGCTGGTTGTTATTAGATATTTCAGGGCCTTTGGCAGAGTTTGATGACGCTGTTTGGTCAGATCTAATCCAACTGTACAAGGGTCAGAGGTCAAATATCAACTATATAGGGATGTGAAAATCCAACTCTAGCACCCATGTTCATACTTAATTTCGCTAAATTGGAAATGAAACTGTACTAGAGTTGGATTACTCTGTACTCGTAGGCCACAGAAGACCTTCTTTCCAGATTCAGGATTTACTCTTCCAGTCAGGTCATCTTTCTGATTTGCAATGGTCTTGCTGCTGAGGACGTCGGCGCCTAATCCGACTGTAGATTTCAGATATTTGGCAAGGCTGATCTGTGCATCCGGACTCTCTATGCGGTTTTGTGTCGCTGCTTGGTTAGAGTTTCATCGTCGAAGATAGCTTGCTCTTCTGTATCCTCTCCCAACTAAGGATCAACTTCGTCTAGGAACTGTGATACGTCTCTTTGGTCTGATTGTGGCATATCAGTAGGGTTGTCTAGCGAATGGAAGCTGCTCAATGTATTTGCCGATTGTAGATATGGGACTGGGTCGTAGAAGCTGGCATGGCCGAGTCGCGTTGTGCAGATGAAATGTCCTGCCGCGCCGTTCGCTTGTGTTTTACATCCGCTGCAGCTTTATTCTTAGGCGTAGGGTTACCACGCTTGCGCTTTCCCAGGGCACTCCTGGAGTTGGTGTTATCCATAAGGCTGTTACTGGTCAAATTGGTTCTCTTAGGTAGAAGTATATAGGTAGAATAAAGAGTTGAGCGCTGTACGAGCAACAATACGGTTTGTAATGGCCACAGGCCGTCTCGATAACTAACTCCCATTACCTTCACCCAACACCTTTTGTTTCACCTCATGCCACTTTAAGCTGGCGTCGCTTCAGCTGCCGTAGATAGGACGTTGAACACTTAGAGGAAAAACTCCAAGCTAGCCTGCGGATAATCAATACCCAACGCGTGAGAAATCGTAGAGAGACAGGACACCAGCAAGGAAGAGCCGGAGCCAGATTGTGCCCTTCCTGGAAAGCAAGAGTATACTTCCCAGCAATACCGGTCCGGGGGGATTTAATCATATTATCAGGCGGTGGAGTGGGTACATGATGAAGAAAATAAAGGAAGGCAACACTCTCTGCGCAGGCGACAGGAAGAGGCCTGGTGCACGAAGCAAACGCCATCGCCCAGAGTTTGTATGATCTGGCCGACCCCGCAAGTCAATAGGGCGCGAGGTTGACAGGTTGACAATCAGCTCAGGGCTACAGAGATCTGATCCAGTACAGTACAGGGGTTAAGGCGCTTATGCTTTATCGATAAAAACCAGCTCTACTCCCGGTCTTCTAAATCAACTCTACCCCCGGCATAGTGGGTCATACAGGGGCTAATTAAATCAACTCTACTAGAGTTGATCAAAGCCTTACCATCGTAGGCACACTGGCCGGATGGTGCTGCATTTACCCGATAAATCGGTGGATTTCCGCCAACAACTTCGTGCGGGTGCGAGGAACTCGTCGTGACTGGGGGGATCACCGGGGAAACATGATCATGTTCACAATTCTTCTTCGTTCGCTGAAGGCGAGTATTAATTGACACCACATTGCTAAGCGGTCTTAGTTGTTTGAAGATTGATATTAAAACTGGCAGGGGAAGAACCTCCGAGGCATGAACTTTAAAGGTAGCATGCGGGATACTAGTCTTGCTTGGTTACCTTATGAGTTCTTTAATTAATTCAATCTGCATCTGCTTAATAAGTTTATTCCATTGACTATGTTTATCTTTAAAAGGCTTTAGGGCATATTTGGCAATTGGAAAGATGTTGATTTTATTAACAGAGAACATTACTAAGTAGGAGAGTTGGAGAATTGTATATAAAACTACCCACTAGATAATTATTCTAAAATCTTAGATAATATAAGAAAGATGGTTTACTAATAGTTTGCGCTCTAGGTAATCTAATAGCTCTGTGTTAGTCTAAATCTGGATAATAGCGATGTAATGCTTTAATAAGGGGGCAATGGCTTAAGATTTAATATTATTTGCACTCTGGGAGGTAAGGGGCTATACTTAGCGTAATGAAAGAAAGGAAATTATAGTTTAAGACACACTTATCCTGAACGAGTGCAGAGTCTCTTTAATTAGGATGACGGCATTATTCCTTCGTATGGGCCACCCGGACTTACGTAGTTATGTAAGCATATTATCCGTCCTTTTTATCTTATTAAAACGTGGCTGTATTACTAAATGCATTAATTATAACATATTACTAAGAATGTAATTCCTAATAACCTTTTTCCTATTCCTGGTTTTATGGGCTAATCTTCCTTGGCGATAAGCTCCTAGTGGTATTTAGCAATCCCTTGTTTTATTATAATATAAATATCTGTGCTAGGATAATAATTCCGTGGTATTCTCCAAGGTAAAGGGCGAGACTACCTATAATAAGTAGGCAATACAGTGGTTTATTTCTTTGTTTTATTATTAACATCCGCTATGTAAGCTAGTTACATAAGGGTCTTATCTAAGTATAAGGACGGTAGGAGCCGCGGGTTCAGAGTCCGCGTTCGCTACGCGTTATACAAAATAAGAGAAAGGTTTTGTATTAATCTAAGCCTTGGGGGGCAGGGCCATAGGGGCTGGTGGTCCTCCAGTAGTGCCCAAAGTACTTATATCTATCCAGGCCCAGTAAATAGGTAAAGGGAGTAATGCCCATCTAGATGTCTTTTCAGGGACTTCCGGTAGAAAGGGTTGTACTATTTTGAATTTAATAAAGTTTCTTGGTGTCCTTGGTTCACCGCACTTGCAAGTGGGCCTCGCATTATGTCCGAAGCTTTGTGGTATTCCACGAAGTCTGCGTGTCCCCATGTCTCCGCATACAGCCTGTGGATTATAAATATTGGTAGCTGTAGTTCCGAGAGTTTGTAGAGGGTGTCTGTGGACATCAACAGCTCTGTTGTCTGGGCTTATTTTATCTAACATGTCTGCTGCGATTTCTTTAGTGGTCTAGGCTTAGTTGTCCACATCAGGATTCTACATCCCACCCCCTTCCTGAAGATGGCTCTTATTCCATTGGCGAAGCTATCTGATTTTCTGTAGTAGTGAGCGCTGTACTTTGCCATATATATTCACTTCAGAACATATTATATTATGTCAGTATGTATATGAAAGTATCTCTGCCTGACTGGAATGTCTTCTCTACCGCCTTCGCATCACGGTTTTAATATATTTCGCCGATGTCGAGAAGAAATGGACTAAAAGTTTGAAAAATTTTATCTTTTGGGCTAATACTCTCCAAATTACTCTCCGATATTAATATAAGTAGGCTTTTGGATGGCTAGTGAATCTTCTCTCAGGATAGTTCCCAAGGGAGTCTTATCATTTACTTCCGAGTTTCACCGTATCGCTAGTAAGCTTTTCAGAAACATAATTGGGCTCTTCTTGAACTTGGTAAGTGTGTCGCCAGACTGAACAATGAACCCATCTGGCTCCACGGTAACTTGCCGTCCACATAGGACGATACTTTCCCGACCAACAGCTTTTAATCTGACCTAATCAACTTCTTCAAGGCCACTGGCCGCCCGGCTCCAAAACTACCCTCCGCAGTTGAGGTTTGTACTGAGGCTAAGGAAAAAGCAACTGCAGTCTTCGACGATTATGAGCTTCTGAATGGTATCCTATTAAGGCACGGATCTACTCTCTAGAGAAGATGAACCAATAAAAGTCGACAACAAAGGATCAAGATTCGTCATGGCATTTATCAGGTAGCTTAGATAGCCAGTCGTTAACAGCATAGCAACAAGCATGATTATTGTGCTCTGCCTATTAGTTATGTGATAAAAATTGCGAAATTGCATCTGCCAAATCTGTCAACATGAGCTCCTTAGTTTACCTTAAGAGCTACCCTATACTACGTAGTAATGACTGATTCGTCACCAAAAACCTTTAGTGCTGTTCATCAATAGTAGCCTACTGGAAGCAGAATAACGTCCATTCACAGTTGAAAGTCTTCATCACGAAGCCTGTTGCTCTTCTGTTCTGCTCGATTTGTAAGAAGGTAATCAACAAACAGCGTCCTGATTCGTGGCATCTAAGTTTGGCATCTGATCCAGGTATCGCTTTGCCGCTGGGGATTTGAAGGCCTCCAGGTGCCACGTCGCAAACAAATTCGAGAATCTCCTGCTGCATCATGGCGGGTGCATTTCCTGCTGCTGACCGTTCCACGCCGAGCGAAACGTCTACCTTCGCTTTGCGCTGCGCAGTTGGGATTCTCCAGAATGCTGAAGCGCTAGCTGCAGGTCGCTGCGAAGCGGTGGTTTATTGTTGTCTCGCCGATCGGTAATGACAGTAGGACTAGCGTTTAACCAGGCCACAACATGGCTCGTAACCAAGAACAATATTTTGCCGTCCTCTTTGGATAGTCGGGTTATGCGGTCAAGATTTGGAAAACTCAGGTCCGGAGATAGCAGGATATATTGATATACCTCCCAATAGCCATCGTCATCATACCCAGTAGGGAAATACCGCCGACGTTTCGCAAATGGAATGAATTGCAACGGCGATTCGCTTGTGTAATAAAGCCTATAGACCTGTAGTTCTGTACGCTCCGCTGGGAGCGATCCTGATAAGCTCGCCCAATCTGACCGCTGTATTATCTTTGCTGCATCTCCTGGGAGGCTCGCTGCCGTGTTCAAGATGTTTCGAAAGGTCGAAAACCAAAACTAGACAGAAAGGAATAAATAAGCATCATTTGTTTAGTTGAAGCCCCTTGGGTGCTAGTTTGGTGTCTCTTTCGTAGCATAATAGACTTACATCGCCAATCCTGTAGCTTATCATCCACTCCCACGTAGAGATCTGGAGCGTAGTTCTTCCGATTGTTGTCCGACACCATTCGGTCGTGGTTGCCCTCCATCTTTCGTTCCTCCACACGGTGACAAGTCAGCGAAGCGGCAACGTGATTTCGCCTTTCAACTGCAATGCGTTCATCCCCTGTCTTTCCACCTTGAAAGGTTTGCCTTCGAACAGTTGGGGCTCATGCGAGGCCGCAGTCACGACTTGTGTCCAGATCTCACCATAGCTATCCGCCCGGGCTGGATCCACACCACACCTGGGGGCAGAGCTGCCTCTGCGAGTAGTGTCCAGACGACACCTCCAACAAACCCACAGATAGACACAACGGCCCCCAGATGGACTTTCCACTATGTCCAACCCGTCCCCGAGATTGTGTTGATTCCCTTTGTTTATGTCGGCTGGGTTGGCGGTCGGTCGTTCGATTCATCATATGTAATTCGACTCGCTTTACGGCGCATGGCAGTTGAGCAATATGCGTGGTATTATTCTCGTCAGCTTGTCGTCGCGTAGTCAAGCAAAGGACAGCTGACACGCCATCATGTTATAGTTGTCGGTCAAATTGTTGGTCGTGTCGCCGCGGGTGTCGTCGCTCATGTGTCGAGTCGCGGGTTTGTTCAAGTCATTGTGCCATCGATACCAGGTAGGCAATAAAGGAAGTGGACATGTCGTGGTCAGAAAGCGCATCTGACCGTAGACAGTCGCTCTGGTGTGTCTGGTGTGATGGAGGAGGACAAATTTGACCCACGACCAGTTGGGGGTTGCGTACTTTATTCTTCACAGAACCCATGTCTATTGCTGGAGTTCCTGGCGCGGCACGGCCCTTCCACATTGTTGCATCATAAAACCAGTTTGCTATAAAAGTATGGGTGGAGAGCAGGGACATCAACCCGTTAGACCATTTGATGGTCGACCCTGTCGACATGTGACTTGCACTGATGATGCACCAGTCACGGTAGACGCGCCCAAGACGCGTCCGACGCCCGGATCTCCCCTGAACTTGCCATTTGCATCAACTAGAACGGGAAATTAGCACTGCTATTTTTGGTTCGTAAGTTTCACAATGGGCAACTTTCGAGATTGGCGTAGATCCCCGGCTTATTTGGAGGGTCTCTGTGATCCCTACTACCGCGTGGAGGATGAAGGCTCGCAGGCAGTTACTCGCTCTGGGCGGGGAATCCGTGCCCCTGGTCGGGCTGCGATAGACTTCCGTGCCAGATATGGCCACTCTCTACGAGTTCTGAAGCACAATGTGAGTAACCATATTGACTGGCAGAGTCGATACGTGTCGTCTCTTATTTCGACGTACCGTGACGAAGAAGCCGCCTGGGCTGAGGCAGAGCGGCGAGTGGCTCGTGGCAGACAGAACGTGACAATCACGGTCATCGATGCTCGGAAGGTGTATGGGAAGGTAGAGTATCGCAACTTACGTCACCTTGCGCATGAACTAAACATTCCAATACCACGTAAGGCTTGGCATAACTCCAAACATGAATATGTTTTCCTCCGTCACGTCCCAGAGCGTGCAGTGCAACATGTCATTTCTGTGAATTGATCCAACCCGGACCGGCGGGTTGGACTATAGCGAGTGGGGTAGAGCTGGGAAGTTCTTCGCCTTGTTCCCGGTTGGGAGCCCGCTGTGGAGAGCGGTCGTAGCGCGGTGTTGTTCCGGGCAAGGGAGATTGAGTGGCTCGATAAGGTGTTTGATACGGGTATCCGTGAGTTTACACGAACACGACTTGCACAGGGAGGGACCCGGGTTATGGCGGCTTATGAATCATGATGGGAGAGATTACTATGGTTGATACAACAGTGTTAGGATGAGGCTGGGTGAATATCTCCAAACAAATATTAGGACCTATTCTTGAATACAATCTCTACATAGGAATGCTTGGATATCTCTGACCTTGTTGCGACACGCTCCACACATTCTTCAAGTGCTATAACACCAAGGTAGTCAGATTTCAAATGGTATAGAGATACAAGACGCATTTTATTAGCCCCTTACATAGAGGCCTGTCTCTCTTACTTGTTTAGTTTTAGTCACGAAAAGACGCAATGTAGTCTTATAACTTCGAATCCTGTGCATGGCCGTTCCCGTCTGGCCGCCGCCGTACTCTTCAACACCTCCATGCCTTGGCTCTCCCGATCATTAGTCACCCTCTTTACAAGAGTGTGTGTTATTAATAGGTCTTTTAGCATGTTCCTTCTGTAATAAAACTTGTAGTATTGAATATAAGCTCGGACGACTATCTGCAGACTCTCGAGGGCCATAGTAGCTGGGTAAATTGTGGTCTTCTCGCCTAATGGCCAGCGGCTCGCCTTAGGCTCAGGCGATAACTAATTAGAGTATGGGATGCAAGCTCGGGCGCCTGCCTGTAGACTCTCGAGGGCCACAGTGACGAGGTAACCTCAGTGACCTTGGGGAAGGTTCCAGCTTCGGCCTATCGTACTAGAGCAATGGCACGATCAGGTGGGAGACATCGAATGATAGTTTTTCCCTTGAGTAGCGTGCAAACGGCCTGGCCCTCCTAGAGCCCTCAGCCTTGCAAGGTCTTTGACTACCGCTGGCGAGGTTGTAAATGAGATGTATGGCGTTGGTCCCATGTTCCGTGGCATGCTTACTCACTTTTACTCCAGCATTTAACAATGGATGTTGAAGAAAACCCAGTTGTGCCTGGATATGAATGAGTATTTGAGATTGAGCATATGATGCAGATTGCCAATAAGTGTATTTTCCCAGCTGGTGCTTATGTTATCTTATCGATTTAGATCAATAGAGAACTTCTCCCAAAATTCAGCGAAGACATAGCTCAGCCATAAAAGGCATGCGTGACATCATGAGGCTACATGTCAAATCATTAGATGCTCTGCTGGTCAGTTAGCGTGCAGGTCGCTCTCTCTATGACTATTTCGCGTCCCAGATACATTTGAGCCGCCTACAAACGCAGCCGTGGTGCCAGGCTTCGGGCGGCCTACCGCATGAAGTCTGCAAAGTTTGCAGGCTTCCTATACAAACATCTGCCCTTGGCCCGACAACATGCAGCAGGGTTTGACAGAAAGCCCTTGTCGCACCCAGAGCAACGAGTGCCCTGCTAGGATGGGTGCTGGAGCATTTGGCGCCAGCGCTGGGATGGGCGATTAGATTAAAAACGCCCACGTGATGATTAGCTTACTAAATGCGCTATGTATGCATGCTACGGCTTGCCAGGCAGTGCAGGGATACAGAATCCGGGCCAGTCTGTGTCTTACTCTGAACATATTCACCTTTGACCATTATCATCAAAAAAGATCCAATTACTGTAAAAGAACCGCAATTATTCTTTTGATGGATTATCTTCAGAAAGCCTTTCTCTACATACTGTACTGTACAGTATCGATCGACATAGGTTTATCTTGTGTACAGCCATGACAGAGTTACATAGGATACACGAAAACGTTTATTACTGCTCTTGTGTTATTATTCGATAGTGCTTTGCTTGTTGCCGGATTGAATCGGTTTCTTGAAATGCAAAGGTTTAATCCTGTTGCAGTCGCTTACTATGTTGATTTTCTGCCTTTAATGGGCCTTTTATGGTAGATAACTTGCGCTTCATTGTAATAATAATATAAGTAGAAAAGCTAAGGCTAAAATTATATTAATATATAATATTATATATGATCTCTATATATAATCTCTATATATAATCCTTATATAACTTCCTTCCTTAAATGCATTATTATAGTATCTAAGCCTTTAGAACTAGTGGTTTTTATTATATTCTTTATTGGGTTGTAATAATAATGCTTATCTTTAAGGCTAAGAAAACTGCATATGTTGCTATCTATGCAATTTTCTATAATAAAGGATGTAATTTTCTGAAAAGCATCCCGAATTACCTTAAGGAGCCAAAGCCAGCTCCCAATTTCACCATCGGAATCAATAAGAACAATGGCATCAAGATGAATATCTTGCAGAGTACTCTGGTGACGAAGGAGGAAAAGGGCAAGTTCCATGCCTGTGCAGTCAAACGTCGCTAAGTGGACAATCTCCAGCTTTGAGATAAAAAGCAATTGAGAAAGCTTCGAGAAGCGGGTATAAGTAGCATAGTCCGTCCTGTTGAAGCCTGATGACCGCCATTCAGGGCTGCCACTCAAGCTGCCCCTGTCTTCGTCGCGGTATCCAAACTCAATTCTAAAATCAGAGAGCTCCGGAAATCGATCGAGAAATTGAATCAGATCGTATGACCAGTTGATAGCAGTAGCGCTATGCACTGGAGACTTTGAGTCGAGAATGAGGGATAGAGTAGTTAAGGTATGAAGCCTAAAGTTATCCAGAGCCGCCGATGTGGGCTTGACGAGCATGTCGGGGCTTATGCGGTTAGCATTGTCGATAACGGAGCCAGAAGTAATCTCCAGGAAGTCAATGGGGGTGTTGCCCTCGGCAAGCGCAGCAAACAGAGCATGTAGCATTTGGCGGACTAGCTCGACACTTTTTGGCGACTCAAAGGTAAGACACCTTTGTGGCAGTATGCCGATTTCTTTTTGCAGACGCCTTAGGCCCCAGACTCGATTGTCGTCCGTGATTCTTATGGTGCTGCAATTGACGAGCTTTTGCATGGCACGCGTGAGGTGCTTGATGTCGTCTCCGCGGCGAATGAGTTCCTCCTGGTTATCAAAGGCCTTGCGGTAAGCGGTCTCATCCAAGCCACGCAGGTGAGGGTAGTCGTCATCATCGCTGTCGGCCTCTTCGGCGCTTATATTTCCCTCATCCTCTGTTTCTTCGTCTATCGCTTCTTCTTCTCCTTCCTCTGCATCATTTTCATCTTCACCCCTTGCCCTGCGATCTGCCCAGGCCATTATCTCCGAGAAAGGCCTTGAAGGAGGCTCAATAGTGTGGAGCTCATCAAGGGGCAAGAGGTGATTAGTGCTGACTTCCACTTCTTGGACACATGGACCGAGAGTGGGATGCTCGGCAATACCTGCCAAGGCTTCCAAGCTCCGGCGGTCAAGCATAACGCGGCGCATGTGGAAATAAGTTTTGGAAAATATATGAAACGTGTTGTTGAGCGTGTGGCATGTTTGGCGTAGGCAAAAGAGATCCTCAGGTGACAAACGTTCGACTACATAGCCGGTGATCTCTGGAGGGAGGTGTAAAATCGATGTCATTTCTGCGGGATAGTAGAGGGCCTGTTTTTAAACTGAACAATGTCTTAAGAATGGCATAGAAAATAAGAGGTATGTCCTCTGCTGTCGCCTGGAACGCGGGAGGGTGGATGGCGCTAAGTAGGTGGGTTGTAGATTGGCGGAAGCTATGCATTCCTAAATGTCGATCTGATTGATTGAGCAGGGCGGCACGGGGCTTTATAGAATGCAAAGCGATTATGTATATAGGTCGCTCTAGCGCTGGGAGCGCTGCGCTCTATCATTCATTCCTCCTGATTCGCTCTTTGGTCCTCCGTTTCTCTATATCTGTATTTTTGAGGTTGCAACAAGAGGTTGAGTCGTAACAGGTGGAAAGCTGGCTTTCCTAGCTTTCCTGGGTTGTTATAGAAAGCTAGCTCTCCCCCCTTTGGGGTAGGCAACACCCGGCTCAACCACGGGTAGCCCAACCAATAGGACCAAAGTCGTGCCAAGTCGGCACGGCCACACACGGCACAAGTCGTGGTCGGTCGCCTCGATCACAGACGACCTCGTCCAGCCAACTGGATATATGGATATATAAATTCACTTCTCAACGCTCATTTAGATAACTTAGATAGCCAGTCGTTAACAAAGAGTCAAGATTGTAACACGCTCTGCATTACTTACAATCTAGTGGCTTATTCACTATTGCCTACATCGCCTACTATTAGGCTTCCTAACCGCTCCGCCAACATAAACTCATATCATTTACTAGGTTTGTCCCTTGGAAATCTACCCTATGCGAACTACCTATCTAGTGTATGATTCGTCACAGTATGCCATTCCTAAAGACTTGTCTAGCCTTTAATACGCTCGCTACTATTCCACTTAAATGGCGCCGATTTTACATCTTCCTCCAGAGATCACGGGCTATATAGTCCAGCACCTGTCGCTTAACGATCTCTTATGCCTACGCCAAACATGTCGCGCGCTTAATAACAACACCTTTCATATATTTTCTGAAGATTATTTCCGCATGCGCCGCGTCATGCTGCACCGCCGGAGCTTGGAAACCCTGGCTAATATTGCCAAGCATCCTACTCTCGGCCCAGCGGTCAAGGAGGTGGAAATAGTACTAACCATCTCTTGCCTTTTGACGAGCTCTATACTACTGAGCCGCCTTCAGAGGCCCTCTTAGAGATAGTTGATGGCATAAAACGCGAGGAAAGTGGTTTGGGCGAAGAAACCGAAGAAGAAGACGAAGGAGGGGAAGAAGGAAATGCAAGCGATGAAGAAGCTAGTAGAAGCGGCGACGGCCAGCTCCCTCACCTACGTGGCCTGCATGAAGAAGCCTATCATAAAGCCTTTAAGGACCAGCAGGAACTTATCCGCCGCGGAGACGACATTAAGCATCTCACCCATGCGCTGAGAGGCCTCACTAATTGCGTTATTTTTAGAGTCACAGACGCCAATCGAGTCTGGGGCCTAAGGCGTTTGCGGAGGGAAATCGGTATATTACCTCAGAGATGTGTGACCTTTACGTCGCCGGAAAGTATTAAGCTTGTCCGTCGACTGTTACATGCTTTTTTCACTGCGCTTGCTGAGAGCCACGCTTCCATTGAGTTTCTGGAGATCGCTTCTGGCTGCATTGTCGATAATGCCAACCGCATAAGCGCCGACATGCTTGTGAAGCCCTCATCTCCCATTCTCAACAACTTTCGCCTCAATACCCTGACAACTCTACATCTCAGCCTCGACTCGAAATCCCCAGAGCACAACGCCACTTCTGTTAATTGGACATACGATCTCATTCGTTTTATTGAACGGTTTCCGGAGCTCTCCGAGGTGTTCCATGAATGATGATTTTAGTATTATTTATTAAATTCTCCTACAATACATTACGGTATCACTTCCGTACGAAAATAGGATTATTCTTGCCATTGAATCTCTTCAAAAGGACCTAAATTTTAGTCTTACATCTGCAGCAAAGGTCTATAATGTTGACCGTACAACTCTTCCGCGCCGTGGCGCTGGTACACTTGCACGATGCGATACAAATCCTAATACAAAAAGCTTATAAAATTAGAAGAGGAGGCTATTATTGAGTATGTAATTGAGCTATTTATGTGATGATTTCCTCCTAGATTGCGTCGTGTAAAAAGAAATAGCCAATTATCTACTACACACACACACACAATTTAGTACGCCCGGTGGAGTCTCCTCCAATAGGGCAACTATCAATCTGTGTTACATAAATGGCCCTCCAGTTATGACTTTCCCTCATAGTAGCCCATATATTGGCACAATCTAGTTCTGGCTCTTCCTTGTTGATATCCTGTCTCACTACGGTTTCTCACGCGTTAGGTATCAATTATCCGCAGGCTAGCTTGGAGTTATTTCTCCAAGTGTTCAACGTCCTATCTACGGCAGCTGAAGCGACGCCAGCTGAAAATGGCATGTGGTGAAATAAAAGGTGTGGGTTGAAGGTGATGGGAGTTAGTTATCGAGACGGCCTGTGGCCATTACAAACCGTATTGTTGCTTGTACAGCGTTCATATCTGGCTCCCACTTGGACCCGTCTGACGGCGATTTCCCTCCCAAGTAGAACGAGAGGTTTCCTCGTTTTGTATCCGTACACCAGGTCATTACTTCTCTGTCCTCAGTTCATTTGCCGCATCTGAAAAGAAAGTGTGCCACTGTCTCTCGTTCTCTGCCGCAGCTGCATTGATCTGATGCCAACCTCTTGATTTGATATAGATAATTGTTTAGTGTAGACATACCTGTTCTCAGCTGGGCCAGAACGCTGCGTTCTTTCCATGGAAGTTCGTCGTAAAGGAGCCGAGTGTGACTGCCAGGCAGTGCGGCGTCTATGCTCTTGGCATGTTTACCAACTTTCTCTGGTATGCATCGTTCCGCTTTCAACTTTTGTTTTTGAATATTCAGTGTTGTAGAACGCATTCTAGGCAATTGTCGTTGTAGCGTGGCTCCGCCCTTGGTTGCCTTGCGTGCCTCAGTCTTGGTTACCATCACCAATTCATTCTCATCGCTTACGGGGATCCATTCGATTGCCACTCTGTTCCCTCTTCTACGTAGCTTTTCTATAGCCTCATAGATCAGCCGCATATATATCTGGCCTGATAGCTGCCTTGGGTTACCGAGGCTAATCACAACCGCTCTGTTGCTGGTTATCACAGCCACGTTACGATCTGCGATCGTCGGTAGGGATCGCAGCGCATATGCAATGGCTACCAACTGTCCTGAATACAGATTCTGCTCTGTCCTAGAGCCGGTGTAAAGGAGAAAGCCTCACGCTTCGATTTTCCTCGTGCCGAGATGGGTAATTGTAATACTCCACCGATTCCGACTATATCATTCCTCGCTGAACTGCTTACTGCCACTGTCACACTCCATCCGGCGGTGGTCGATGTTTGCGTTACTTCTGAGATGGTTTGCACTCGCTTGACCCAGGGCGCTAACGGGAATGGCATGATGTCCTCTATCTCATCCGCCGGAATGTCCTTTAGCCGGCATGCCACTGGTGGAAAGGCGATCTTCGTGATGCATACCGGCCCTTTATTAATAATTAACATGTATAATAGATACCAAATTTAATTCACTTGACACAGTAGTAAGCTCTTGTTAGTTTCCTTTGTCCCTATTTACCTCATAGAGTACAGTGTTCGCCAATACAACCAGTGTCCGTAGTAACTGAGATCCTACTACGTTGGTGACAACGACCTGTTGCGACAATGCACGGGCTTGTTGTTTCATCATCCGCAACTGCCAATCCTCCCTTTAGGCTATATTCATATGCAATTTTCCTAAATTCGTCCATGATATGCCTCTCCCCGCAATGATAGAGGCCAATAATAGTATCGCATAGGAGGTGGCGCCCGAACCCGAGTTGGCACAACACTCCTTGCGCAGTGGTGATGGTGACCCATTCGCCATCGTCCACTTTTGTCTAGTCATCGCAGAAGTCATATGGAAGATGGCAAGTATTACGGCCATAATTTGGGACTATCTCTTCTCCATATATTGCCTCTGCAAGCTTGCTGTGTAGCGTCTGGCTACCGCCACGCTTGCACTGTCGCAGTGTGTGTTGGATATCTTGGCCGCCAAGGCCATGTCCCATGCAGAGGCTGCATTTACCTTCCCGCCACCCAATTACAATTTTCTAGCTAGCGACTTCCTCCTCTGTATCCCATTTTAGATATGCGCCACTGATAACCCGATTTACTGATAGCTAGTGGGTGGGGCCCCAGCAATCACTAACATTTGGCCGATTTAGACGAGGCATTGGTGCAGCAGGGTTCCATTCTATACGATAGTAGGACGACAAAGACATGCTAATAATGATTATATATCTCAAGCTTCCCCTATTATCTCATACAGCGAGACGTTGCTTTATTATCCATGAACGAAGTTGGAAAATACAGTCAGCATATGCAGCATATAGGGGTTAGTTGGCTATTTCACTGGACATCCGGTGGAAACTCAGCGAGACCACTAGTAGAATGGTCTACTATCTTGTGCGCCTTTGCTTTATCGATAAAAAACCAACTCTACCCCCGGTCTTCTAAATCAACTCTACCCCCGGCATAGTGGGTCCTACAGGGGTTACTTAAATCAACTCTACTAGAGTTGATCAGAGCCTTACCATCGTAGGTTAGCGGTTGCATCTCATATAGCCTCACCACGGGCGACATCTTTTATTTTACGCACCCGGGGGGGATAAACCCCCCCTCTTTCATATTACTACTATAGTCTTACCACGGGCAATATCTTTCTTTATAAGCGGGGGGGATAAACCCTCCTTCTTTGCCTTACTCCCATGCTTTACCACGGGTAAACCCTTTATTACCTAGCTGCTATACCGTAATCCGTTAACAGCTTAATAACTAACCCAGCTTGCCTATATAATAACCCTAATATTATCTATCCTATTATTATTATTCCTCTTTTTCTTACCACTTCTAACCCCAACCCTTAGCCTTACTATCTTTTCCACTTTACTTTAAAGTATAAAATATCTGCTAGTTATAAGCACTCTCATTTTAACTAGTTAACTTGAAAAATAACCCTTTAAATTATAAAATAATCCTATTGTCTTACTACCCTTCTTACTTTTCCTTACTACTATTAATCTTATATAAAATTAACCCCACTATATACTAATATAACCCTCTTTAAGTAGTAACTAAATAAGCCCTCCAGTTACTTAGTACTTTAATACCTTATTTTAAAACTCCTCTTACTAAATTTAATCTTTTTTATAACCCCTCTAGTAAAATACCCCTCTACTCCCTATTTTATAAAACCTTTTACTATAGTAATAAATAAACTTTTCTTTAACCCTACTGCCCGGCAGTTATAAGCGCTCTTGCTATAAGCAGCTACTTTAAAGTAACTACTACCTTATCCCCCATCTTATATAACCTCTTACCCTAACCCTCTATCTCTTACTTTATAATGCCTTTACTAACCTTGATTAAAAAGCTAATATTTTTTTTAAAAAAAAACTTACTGTCCCTGGCGGTTACAAGTGCTCTTGCCCTAAGCGGTTACCTTAAAATAATACCTCCTGTATAACCCTATTTTTAACCTTAACCCCTAGCTTTTAAGTATAAAGCAGCTGCTAGCCATTACCTTTACTTATCTTAATGCCTTATTCTAAACGACCTCTTATTATATTTATCTCCTCTTATAAGATCTGTAGTAAAATGCCTCTTTATCTTTTACTTTATAATACCTCTTATATATAATGCTTTTTTATTACCCTATAACCCTTTTATTAGAATACTTACCCCCTTATTTTTTTTTTTAATTATATTTCCCTTAACACTATATATATATATTACTATTACATACTAATATTATTTTTATATAAATATTTTTCTTTTCTAACCCTGCCTTTATTTCTTGCCCTGTTTAATACACTCCTGAATAATTTCATCCCATACTGCCATTCCGTTTGTCATTTGCATCCCATACATATACCTTGATCGCCCAATCCACTGCTGATAACTGTCATCCTTCCCGTCAACCCCAAACTTCTCCAACACCAGCCTTTGCACCCTCCCGCTTACCCGAGCCATCATCATCACCGCAAGTATCTTGTTGCTGTAGCAGCACTTCCCGTCCTTTCCCCTCTTTGCTTCGCACCACCTGTGCGGCAGCCCACACTCCCAGCAGCATATAAAGTCTGCAAACTTTACCTTAGCCCTCCAGTCGCCAAACTCCCTTTGACTGATCACCATACATGCATCTCGTTTATGCATATACTTTAACCTCGACTCCTCCTTCCCCCCTCGAAGATGCCATCTTACATAGCATACACAGCAGCTTACTGCCACTATGTGATCTAGCCAACCGTATAACACTGTCAGCCGCCGGCTTTCTTCCTGCTTATGCTCTTGCAGTCGACCCCTGACCAGTCCCTCTGCCACAACCCCCCTCTCATCATCGCCTTCGCTTTCACCTTTGCCTTCGCCTTCACCTTCACTTTCATCTCCCATTTCACTCCCCGTGCTTTCCTCGCTTTCCCCTTCTCCTTCCTCCACCCGCGCCTCCTTACCCTGCCTAGACCTCTCTTCACAGCAATCGCACTCCAGAGCACCCATCTCGCCGCATCGTTGCCTTTTCCCGTCCATAAATCCACCCAGCTCCATTCGACGACAGTCAGTCGTCTGCAGAAACATCTCCATAGCCTTCCGGTTCTCATGATCCACGTCGCTGCCAAACTCATCGTACCACACCGCTGCCCCGTCCGTTACACGGCACTGCAGCAAGCCAAACTGGGAAGCGAAGTGGGCACGACAAATTCTTTAAATAGGCATGAAGAACGAAAATTTTTAGAA